AATAACATTCTCATACTGTTTGCGTAGGGCCCAGGTCTCTGAGGCATATGTTAATGCAGGAAGAACAGTGGAATCAAAGAGATGTGCCCGGAGCCGAAGGTTCTTCGTCCTCTTAGCTATTTCTTCGACGTTCTTGAAGGCATTCCAAGCTGCTCTCTTCCTCCTGCGCAGCTCAGGTGCCAGGTCATTTGTCATGTTGACTTCTCGACCTAGGTACACATAGCTGTTGCATTCGGAGATGGTCGTTCCATTGAGAGTGAATGGGCATCAGGCACAAGGCTGTTTCTAATAAACATTGTCTTCGTAAGATTCAGCTATAGTCCAACCTTTCCACACTCACGGTCAAAGTCGGCCAGCATTTGTGCCGCTTGGCTGATGTTTGGTGTTATTAAAACAATGTCATCAGCAAAGCAGAGGTGGTGTAATTGCCGACCATCTATCTTCATTCCCATTCCTTCCCATTCCAGTCGTCGCATGATGTTCTCGAGGGTGGCACTGAAGAGTTTCGGTGAAATGGTATCACCCTGCCGAACCCCTCTCTTGACATCAACGATCACTTCTTTGTAGAATGGTGAGATCCTGGTAGTGAATCCGCAATACAGCTCACGGAGGATCTTGATGTATTAGGCTTGAATGCCCTGATTGGCTAGGACTTCAATGACTGCTTCTGTCTCAACAGAATCAAAGGCCTTCTTTAAATCAATGAACTCTAACTACCACATATAAGTGATGTCATCCTGTTTTTGACCCATAACATTTTCCCAAAAATTAGATCAAATATTCCTGAAATTGATCACGACGATCACGACCATCCTGTTGTTCGTCGATTGCCTTGAGCAGACCCCAGTAACTTCTCCTTCATCCCAGCCCTGAGATTTTTTTAAAAAGTGCCATATCAAAGCTCATTCAGAGTTAGGAGAATGAGACCCCTCATTGTTACTGGTATTTAGCATATTGGTTATGCCACGGGGAGTTTGCCAGACTCTGCCATGTGGGCAGGTTTCATTTAGTAGCCTGAAATTGATAAGAAACAATATCCCTTTCTGTATTGAGTTTGAATCAGGGCATTCAAGCTCAATACATCAGGATCCTCCGTGAACTGTATTACGGATTCACTACCAGGATCTCACCATTCTACAAAGAAGTAATCATCGATGTCAAGAGAGGGGTTCGGCAGGGTGATAACATTTTACCAAAACTCTTCAGTGCCACCCTCAAGAACATCATGCCACAACTGGACTGGGAAGGAATGGGAGTGAAGATAGATGGTCGGCAACTACACCACCTCCACTTCGCTGATGACATTGCTCTAATAACAACAAACATTAGCCAAGTGACACAAATGCTGGCCGACTTCAAACGTGAGTGTGGAGAGGTCGGACTACAGCTGAATCTTAAGAAGACAATGTTTATGAGAAACAGTCTTGTCCCTGACGCTCCATTCGCTCTCAATGGAACCACCATCTCCGAATGCAACAGTTATGTGTACCTACGTCAAGAAGTCAACATGACAAATGACCTGGCACCTGAGCTGCGCAGGAGGAAGGCTTGGAACGCCTTCAAGAGCGTCGAAGAAATAGCTAAAAGAACGAAGAAACTCCGGCTCTGGGCACATCTCTTTGATTCCACTGTTCTTCCTGCATTAACATACGCCTCAGAGACCTGGGCCCTACGCAAACAGGATGAGAACACTATTTGGGTCTCCCAAAGAGGAATCAAAAGAACTATGCTTAGTGTATCACGTTTCACTCAAATGAGAGAAAGAATCCGGAGTTCCGACCTCCATCAAAGATCATGAATTAGCGATGTTGTCTCGTTTGCCAAGTCATCAAAAATCAGATGGGCTGGACACGTAATGAGATTTGGAGACGACCGCTGTACTAGAGCCATTACCAACTGGATTCCACGGGAGTCAAAAGACCATGTGGCCGCCCACCTACCAGATGGTCAAACTTCTTCATCAAGATCCTGAACAATCGATTTGAGGCTCTTCGTGTTCCTAGAACGAACAGATGCCATTGGGCTCACTAGCACGCGACAGGGACAAATGGAGACATTACTGGCGCCCGTTCAAGCTAATCGACAATTAACAGGAAGTCAAGTGATCAAGTGATCCCTCTCCCCAAAATTGTTAAAGCAATCCTTGGAAATATGGTAGGCATCACTTCTCAACTTCAAACTGTACTATGAAGAAGTAGTAATTAAAGCAGCATTGTACTGGAATAAAGATAGACCCTCATAACAATGGAATCGAGTTGAATATCCTGAGACAGACCCTAGGTATATGATCAGCTATTCTTTGATAAAGGAGAAAAATATATAAATTGGAGCAAGGAAAACCTCTTTAACAAGTGGTGTTGGGAAAATTAGTAAGCTACATATGGGGGGTGGGGAAGACTCAGACTTTTTTCTAACACCATGCACAAAAATTAAATCAAAATAGATTAAAGACCTTGATATCAGACCTGAATCCATAAAGTACACAGAGGAAAATGTAGGAAGAAATCTCCATGACATTGAAGACCAGGCATCTTCAAGGATGAAATGGCACTGACCAAGTAAGAGGAAGCAAAGATAAACAAATAGGACTACACTAAATTAATAAACTTATGCCCCTCGAAGGAAATTATGACCAGGATACAATATCAACCATGGAATGAGAGAAATTAGTTACTAAATATTCATCTGGTAAGGGTAATATAGCACTGCACGGTCCTCCCATTGTTCATCGATTTGCTCTAGCGGGCCCAGTAACATTTCCAGCGTAAGATTTCTTGTTACTGTGTTTGGCATATTGAATACGTCACGGGTAGCTTGCCAGGCTTTGCCATGTGGGAGAAATACTCTCAGTAGCTTGCCGGGCTCTCCGAGAGGGGAAGAGGAATCGAACCCAGCTTGACTGGGTCAGCTGTGCGCAAGACAAATGCACTACCACTGTGCTATTTCTCCAGCCCAGTAAGGGTAATCACTGTCACGGTCACTGTCCTCCCGTTGTTCATCGAATTGCTCGAGCGGGCTCAGTAACATCTCCATTGTGAGACTTCTTGTTACTGTGTTTGGCATATTGAATACGTCATGGGTAGCTTGCCAGGCTTTGCCATGCGGGTGAGATACTCTCAGTAGCTTGCTGGGCTCTCTGAGAGGGGCGGAGGAATCAAACTCGGCTCAGCCATGTCGGCCGCGTGCAAAGCAAACGCCCTACCACTGTGCTATCACTCCAGCCTGGTAAGGGTAATATCTAAGATATATATTTCACTGGTAGAATTTTACAAGAAAAAAACATCCAACTCCATCAAAAAGTGGGGAGAAGTGATGAATAGAAACTTCCTCAAAGAAGAAATACAAATGGCCAAAAGATACATGGGGGAAAATGCTGTACATCACTAACCACCAGGGACATGCAGATCAAAACTATTTTAAACTACAGTGCAAAAACTTATACTTTAAATAAAATCATCTCTCATGGATGCAGATTGGTGGGTGAGAGGGAAACCAGGGTGGTGGCGGCATAGGTGGAATTAAGTGGACACTGGTGAAGGGGTTGGTGTTGAAACTTTGTATACATGAAAGCCAATCATGAATACCTTTGTAATTTTATGGTGACTCAACAAATTTTTAAAAATTTAAACAAACAAAATTTGCAAACTTAGCAACCTTAATGCCTAAGGGGTAACATCTCCAGATCCAGAGTTCAGAAACTGCCTTAGTCACAAGGAGTATCAACTCTCATCTTTCTCATTGGTAAATTGGGTTGGATTGTTAAAGGTTCGTTCAGTCTCCTCCAGAAACTTTCTATACTCTCTTCAATGGCAAAGTATTTCCCATTCCCCACTGTTACCATACTTCTTGACCCAGTGCTTGCACTCTGTTAAGAATGACATCATGTAAATGATGCAGTCCATGGTTTCTGCAACTTAATCAGACTCTATACTCCAAGAACAGATGAATGGTTTCAGAGTTATCATCTTAAATAAGAGTTAAACTGAAGTCAGTGGGCCTGTGAGACAGGGAAGAGAGAGATGATCACTTTCTCCCTATCTGCCTCTGCCATCCCGGGACCAGCTGAGAAGGTTAGAACTGATAAAGTCTCAGATGAGCCACTTCATAGCACAGACCTGGAGTCAGGCCAGCCCCACTAGGTGGCCATCAAGCCACACTTGACATCTGCTTGGTCTTCTCAGCAGGAGAGTTAATACCCAACATTCAATTTCTTGGTGAACTGCGGACTCAGGCTGGAGCAAGGAAGTGCTCTCTGCAGGTAAGGAAAGTCAGTCCTAGGCCTTACTCAGGGTTCCCAGGTACTTTCTTTTTCTCACAGAAAGGAATTTCAGTAGTAAACAAGCAGTGAAGTTTAAACAGATTTTATTTGAAGGTTTTTAGGAAGGGAAAAGAGAGAGAGAGAGACTGAGTGAGAGAGAGAGAGACTGAGTGAAAGAGAGAGAGAGGAAGAGAGAGAGAAAGAGAGAGAGAGACAGAGAGAGTAATGTGCTCAAGTGAGATGCAGACTTCTCCAGAGATGGAGAGAGCCTATTACACATACCAAGAGGGGAGATATGGGCAACATATGTACTTGGTCATGGGAGCACAAGCTGCACATTGGCTCAGGCAGTATATGAGCACCCTTCTTTTGTTAGAGGTGGCTTTTATAGGGTTTTTTCGAAGATGCCCCATGTAGGGCTTTCTAGCTAGATAAGAGTTTGTTGCTAGGGTGGTTGCCAAGGGAATAAAGTTTGGGAGTAGTTGATAGTCTTCTTTGAAATTCCTTTCCTGGCCTTTATTCCTGCTGGAGTTTCTCTCAGAGGAGGGAGAGTCCAGCCTTCTCTGGGTCTGCTACTGGTGCCAGAAGATCTTATATAACAGGCCTTATTTCCCGTGCTCAACGTGTGCTTTTTGCAGCTTCAGGACTATTGGTTTTATTATTACCCAGGAATTCGATTGCCATAAGGGCCCTACCCTTTCTAACTGCCTACATCAAAATTGCCCAGTCAAGGACAACTTACCTGGTTGTTTGACATGGACCTTGGACTTCAATTCCTGAAACACAAACAAAATAAAATAGCAATAAAAAGCTATAAAAATTATCAATAATTATTCTCGTGATGAAAATGTCCCTGATACAAGTTTGGAATTTAGAGGCCATAGCTATGCAAGAAAATGTTCTTCAATAATCTACTAACTATACTTCTACTTGAGTTTGCTTAGCTACTTACTGATCTCAAACTCACTGGTACAAATGAGTCTCACATAATAAAAACCCCAAAGATCATCAAGTGTTTGGGTATGGAATAAGATATAAATCAGAAAAACGGTTAAGTTCATGCTCTTTTCACATTTCATATTTCACTGTGTTAACTATTAATTAGTACATGCTCTGATATTTACCTTAACGTTATTCTATTCAATCCTAACATAAAACCAACATATCAATCACAAAAGTACCATTTTATATCACACTTTACACCTCTAAGAATGTTGTAAAAATAAAACAAATAGAAATTATAAAGAAAACAGGCAAAACAGAACCCAAATTTTATATCCAAATTACCATCATGATACTTTAAACTTGATTTTTTAAAAATTGTCTAAAATCAAATATAAAGTTACCTTCACTTATTATTCAAAATATTTACCCTGTCATTACCTTCCTTCCCTCTACATATTAGTTGCTTTTCTCCCTCTAATTTGATTTATACTTCTCTTCACTCAATTTTTCTCATTGAAGTTGAATCCAAACACCTTGGACAATGCCCTATCTCCTTTATTTACCTTTTTGGTAATTTTCCCAAAACTTACATCATGGATTTCATCTTTAACTGTGGGCAACTTGAGAGTTAACTTGAATGGCCCATTTCCTGGCCATGCTAACTCATGGTTCTCTCTCTCCAGAACTCTCTTCCGAACTAAAATTAGAAAAGAAAACAACAGTCATGCAATCATCATTCACGAAATGTCCCCATGATTTCTTTTTTTTTCAATTTTTATTAGTAAAACACCATGAGGTACAGTTGTAGACTTACAAATTTTTGTGCTTGGATTTCAATAATACAATGATCAAATACCCATCCCTCCGCCAGTGCCCATTTTCCACCACCACAGATCCCAGTATCTCTCTCACCCCACATCCCCCCAAGCCCTTTTGGAAAACAGTATGGATGTCTCTCAAAAAAATTAGAAATTGAGCTCCCATTTGACCCAGCAATACCACTCCTGGGAATATATCCCAGAGAGGGAAAAAACGTATAGTCGAAGAGACATCTGCACTTGTTTTTTTCATTGCAGCACTCTTTACAATAGCCAGAATCTGGAAAAAACCTGAGTGCCCATGATTTCTACACATATCATCATCATTAGCCAATGAATAGGTTAATCTCCTAAAAGAATATGCATAGAAAAACAGGAGGTTTAGAAGGCAAGGATGTAGCCGAAATGTAGATCACTTGCCTTGAATCTGTGAGGCCCTGGGTGTGATCACAGCACTGAACGCCCCCTCCCTCAGCTAAGCTGCATGTGACCCTCAGAGGCTTGGCGCACCACCAAGTATAGAGTAACCAGGAGCTCAGAGCTTCATCACCAGTATGCCCTTATTGAAACAGAGAGGGGACAGAGGAGAGCTCAGTGGCAAAAGATCTGCTTTCCCTCTAGTGTGCAGATCAAGGTCTCAGTGACTAAATTTTATTTATATATGTTTTATTTGTGGTCGAAATCGGCCACGAATGCTGGCCGACTTTGACCATGAGTGTGGAAAGGTCAGACTGCAGCTGAATCTCACGAAGACAATGTTCATGAGAAATGGACTCATTCCTGAAGTTCCATTCACTCTCAACAGAACAAACATCTCCAAATGCAACAGTTATGTGTGCCTAGGTCAAGAAGTCAACATGACAAATGACCTGGCACCTGAGCTGCACAGGAGGAAGAGAGAAGCGTGGATCACCTTCAAGAACGTGGAAAAAATAGCTAAGAGGATGAAGAACCTCTGGCTCCAGGCACATCTTTTCAACTCCACCATTCTTCATGCACTAATATATGCCTCAGAGACCTGGGCCCTACGAAAACAGGATGAGAACGCTATTCGGGTCTCCCAAAGAGGAATTAAAAGAGCTATGCTTGGAATATCATGCTTCACTCAAATGAGAGAAAGAATACCGAGTTGCGACCTCCATCGACGGTCAAGAATCAGGGACACTGTCTCATTTGCCAAGGCCAAGGCATTGAAAATCAGATGTGCTGGACATGTAATGTGATTTGGAGATGACCACTGGACTAGATCTATTACTGGATTCCTGGATTCCATGGACGTCAAAAGATCGTGTGACTGCCCACCTATGAGATGGTCAGACTTCTTCCTCAAGACTCTAAATGATCGGTTTGAGACTCTTTATGTTCCTAGAATGAGCAGATGCCATTGGGCTACACTAGCACTCGACAGGGATGGATAGAGACGTTACTGGTGCCGCTGGAGCAAATCGATGAGTAACAGGATGTCAAGTGATCAAGTGATCGAGTGATATGTCTTATTTAAAAACATATATAAATATATTTCTTATATATGTATATATTTGAATTTTGGATCACATCCAGTAATGCTCAGGCGTTAATCCTGGCTCTGCACTGTAGCACTATAGCATTGTTCTTCCATTGTTTATCAATTTGCTCGAGCAGGCACCAGTAACGTCTCCATTGTAAGACTTGTTACTGTTTTTGGCATATAGAATACACCATGGGAGCTTTCCAGGCTCTGCCATGTGGGCAGGATACTCTCAGTAGCTTGCCGGGCTCTCCGAGAGGGACGGAGGAATCGAACATGGGTTGGCTGCATGCAAGACCTACCCACTGTGCTATCGCTCCTAGATCTGCATTCAGTAATTATTCCTGGTGGTGCTCTGGGATGCCAGAGATTAAACCAGGATTGGTCTCATGCAAGGCAAGTGCCCTACTCACTGTACTATTGCTTTGGCTCCTCAGTTCACAATATTAATCATATACTGAGAGAAAAAAGAATCCCTCATACTGAGTCTATGAAAATCGAATACTGAAACATAGCAAAAAGAAAACCCTATTTTAGGAAGTTGGCCCAATGGAACATGAGCAGAATTCTTAGCAGCTCAGTTAAAAAGTTATTTCAGGGGATTGGGGATATAGCTCAGCAGTAGATTGATGTTTGAATATGAAACTCTTGGTTTCAATTCCAGGCAAAGTCATACACACACACACACACACACACACACACACACACACACACACACGGTGCATGCATGCAGAATATAAGTTGATTAAAAAAAAAGGTTCCTCAGAAATGGAAAACAGAACTGTCTTATGATCCAGCAATCCCACTTCTGGATAATAATCTAAAATACACAAAATCATTAACCAAGAATCATATGCACCTCATTCTTTATTGCAGAAATGCTCACAAGCTAAGATATTGAAACAACAACAGCAAAATCTTTTATTAGATTATTGGATTATTATGTGATATAGTGCAGCAGGTAGGGCGTTTGCCTTGCATGTGGCTGACTCAGGTTAGATTCCTCTGTCCCTCTCGGAGAGTCGGCAAGCTACCAAGAGTAGCCGGCCCGGAAGGCAGAGCCTGGCAAGCTACCCGTGGCATATTCAAAATGCCGAAAACAGTAATGAGTCTCACAATGGAGACGTTACTGGTGCCCGCTAGAGCAAATCGATGAACAATGGGATGACAGTGCTAGAGTGCTACAGTGCATCTGTCCATATTGCGATTCTATTTAGCTAAAATTTTATGAAATTTGGCTTTATTTTTGTTTATTTGGGGACACTCCTAGCGATGCTCAGGGCTCTACACTCAGGAATTACTCCTATTGGTGCTATGGGAACCATATGGGATGCCAGGGATCAAACCCAGGTCGACCATATGAGAGTCAAGCAGGCAAGCAGTTCTACCCACTGTGCAATCATTCTGGCCCCTGAAATTCTGCCTTTTATAGTGCATTATAAGGAACTCCAGGGATTAATGTGAAGCATAATAACTGAGAAGAAAGACAAAGACTGGGTAGTTTTCTTACATATGGAATGGAAGGAAGCAAAGGAAATTTAAATGACAGTGGACCTTGACAACAGAATGGAAATTGCCAGAGGGAAAGATGCTAAACTGGACAATGGGAGTATACAATGGTTACTGGTATTTTCATTTTATTTAAAAATCCAATAAAATTTAAAAAATCCAATAAATATTTTTTGAAGTCCTGAAAGCAGATTTTCTCTGAGAAGCCAAAAAGACAGGAAACAGTGGAAACACATCTTTTAAATTCTGATGAAAAGAGAGTGTTCAACACAGAATTCCACATCTGGCATAAATATCTTCAGTAATAAAAGCAAAACAAAAACATTTTTAATTGGGAAATTGAGAATTTTTTCTGATCAATGCTGCTCTAATGTTAAAGGAAGAACGTAATTTTTAAAAATGAGAAGTTATTTCAGTCAATTTTCTAAACTGTTTTGACTAAAATATCAAGCCTGATAGTAAAAGGAGTAAAATAGATAGTAAAAGGAGAAGAATAAAAGGCAGAAGAGATGGGGAGGCTTTGAATAAGCATATCAGGTAGCTTCGTTAGAATCACCCAACTGTAGTGGATCTAGAACTCCAAAGACGCGGACTGCAGCACTGCAGAAATCTATTGAGTGACAGAGAAGTTATCTTACTGCCTCTTCAGTCTATTTCTTCATTTAAAGTAGTGTTTCTGAACAAATTTGTCATTTCATACCGGAACCATAAAGGTAGAGTCAGGGGTTCCCTCTGCATCTGACGCATTCCTGGTTCTGTTCAGGTCCCCAGGCAAGGTCCTGCACCGGGCGGAGCAGCCGCCTCAGTACCCAGGAGCCCCGAGGGGGCGCCCTTCCTGCTCCCCCAACCTAGCCGGGCAGGATTGCACCCTCCGCAATCACTTTACAGGGGGGTTTCCTAGAAAAGTCTCCCCGCTTAAGGTCGCCGTAACCCCGCAGCCCTCGCGCTCGCGCTCAGGAAGCCCACCCAGGTCTGGGGGAGCTGCCGCCCCGTTGCACCCACCGGGTCCTGCAAACTGCGCGGGGCCCCTCCCGAGCTCGCCAACGCTCTCCGCCGCTCCCTGAGCTCGGGACCTCCGCACTGGACCGGCGCAGCTCCCCTCGGACTCCCGCCTGGGCGGGACTCTCCCTCCGGTGGCCCCTCGAACCCCTGCTCCCTTCCACTGGGCGGACCCTCCTGCCGGCGACCCCCCTCCTCGGAACCCTACTCCTCCCAGCATGGGCGGGACTGTCCTGCGGGCGCCCCCTCGGACCCGCTGCCCCCGCACCCCCCCTCCCCAGCCTGGGCAGACCCTCCCTCCTCTGCCGGGCCTCACCGTCCTCCGGGGAGAACAGCACCAGGAAGCGGCCGGGACTCCCGGGCCACGGGCGCACCTCGCACTCGCCGCCGCCCGACCTCTTGATGCTCTGGAAATACAACTGCAACTTGATGCTCAGGTTCCGCGGGGGGTCGGGGCCCCAGGAGCCCTCGACCAGCAGCGGGAAGGAGCCGGGAGCGGCCATCCCGGCGTTACCCTGCGCCCGACTGCAGCGCCCGGCCTGGACTCGGGCAGCTGTGGACACCAGCCTGCCCTTTCGGTTTCCTTACCTGGAAACCCTCAGACTTTAAGTTAGGCCTGAGATTATCGGTGCTTGAGTCACCCCCAGTTACTTCACCCCTGGGCCACACGCTGACCTGCCCTCTCTGCTTCATCACCTCTCGCCCTCCACCTTGCTTGAAAGTATCTAAGCTCAGGCACCCTCAGACTTACCAGAACCGCTCTCCCACCCCCAGCAGATAAGATATGTGGACCCCAGATTTGCACACGCGCGCGCGCACACACACACACGGACATTTCTGGAAGAAAATGGAATGATTAGGCAACACTCTTAGAATGTGCCTTGGCTTGCTTGGGGATTTGTTTTACTAGTAATCATCAGAAATCTATCTTGTTTTCCTCCTTTTGCATATTGTTTTGATCTGTTCCTATTATTTCTGTTATATATGATAATAACATTTCTAGAAGTACAGAGGGACAGGACGGTCACAATATTTTCCTGGAATATTTACAAGGAACCATTAATTCAAAATGAATTCTATGTCCCTGAGCTCATAAAGCTGTGGGGACTCCTGTGAAGTTATGTCCCTGTGGGATCCCTGCTCCTGGGAAGAATATACAGATGTTTAGGGAACACCTGAGCAGTCTCCCAGAACAGGTTGCAAGTGAGGGTGGACTCAGGGAACATATGGGGAGGTGACATGTCCCTGAGTCTAACCTTGGAGGTTGATGTTTTGAGGGGCAGTGGTTGCTACTGTGGTTTACAGCACAGGATAGCACTGGAGCGCAATCAGGGAGGGAAACTGCTGGACACTGGGAGAGAGGGCAGAGGGACCAGGCCCTGCTGAAGGTAGACAAGGATTGGGAAAGGGAGGGAGCCCTACCCAAGTTTGCATGTCCTGCTGATGGGCCTTTTGAATCCTGGCAAATGAAAGCTGTCAAGGATGACTCATTGAATTGCTGAGCACCTGGCTTAGAGACTCCTTATCACTTGATTCATGATCATACAGTGGTGTAATGGGCAATCACTTAGTTAAGCACAACAAAACAATCTGGCAGAAGAGCAAGGAAGTTTTATTCACCTTTGGGCTAAGTCCAGACAGCAAGTGTCTGAGAACATCAGCAACAAACAGTTGTCCCACAAGCCTTGTTACAGGGCATTATTGCAAACGTAACATTAGTCTGCTTCACACTTAAGGGTGCGTGGGCACACATACATTATGGCACATTATCAGTATGGTTACAGGGAGTTTCCTAAAATCAACATTTTCTTGTCTAGAATAGAGAAGTTCATCCCAAATGCAGTTCAAGTGGGCATTTCTGTATTTTTCCACCTACAAGCAATTTCTAAGGGTCTGCACTGTCTGCACTGTCCTCCCATTGTTCATCGATTTGCTTGACCAGGCACCAGTAACGTCTCACAACAAATTGTGAGACTTGTTGTTACTGTTTTTGGCATATCAAATATGTCACAGGGAGCATGCCAGGCTTTGCCTTGCAGCAAGATACTCTTGGTAGCTTGCTGGGCTCTCCGAGAGGGGTGGAGGAATCAAACCCAGGTCGGCCACGTGCAAGGCAAATGCCTTACCAACTGTGCTATTACTCCAGCCCCTTGTAAGTACAGGCTATAAATAAAGGGTACATTATAAAGCCATAGATCAAGATCACGATCACGACCATCCTGTTATTCGTCGATTGCCTCAAGCTGGCCCCAGTAACGTCTCCTTTGTCCTAGCCCTGAGATTTTTAAAAAAGTGCCATATTCAAGGCTCTTTCAGAGTTAGGAGAATGAGACCCATCATTGTTACTGGTATTTGGCATATTGGGTACACCACGGGGAGTTTGCCAGACTCTGCCATGTGGGCAGGTTACATTCATTAAGATACAGATACCTCAAATAAGATGAGCACAGACCCAGAAAAGCCACAGACACATGTTGTAAATTTCCTTCCTAATAACTAGAGCAATCATCTTCATAGGGAGTATCTCAGTAGGATTCCCGAAATGGGCAGGGCTGCAATGAGTATATCCTTGACCCATAACCCGAAGTTTCAAGTAAGAATGACAGGCTGTGATCAAATTTCACCGACACTTCAAATAAGATAAGTGTCCTGAGACTCTGACCATCAACAATCCTATTGATGGTCACTGAACTGAGAAGAGATTCAGTAAACTCAAAGAAATATTGACTTTTTAAAAAATCAAAAAAATTCTTGGAAGAAAACTGAATGGGCAAGAGAATAAAGTAGCAGGACTCCGAAAAAGAGTGGAAGAATCTGAAAATCTAATCAGTGACTTCAATAACAAGGCACATAATGTGACAAGGAAGAAGAGGTAACAGAAAATAAATTATTTAAAAATGTGAAAATTTTAGACACCTAATACACAAGAGTAAGAGGAATTACCTCCAAATCTTGGAATATTAAAAAAAGAAGACAGAGGCCCCCGCCGCAGGTCCAGCTCCATGGGACCGGTCCACCAGTTAATCGTCCCCTCCTCTCCAGGTGGGTAGGGGGAGCCCAAGCCGGGAGCCGCTCCTCCCCCCAGCCACATGGCGGAAGCCCAGCGGGGAGACCCCCGAAGCAGGTCCAGCTCCGTGGGACTGTCCACCACCCTTCCTCCATTCCAGGATCCTGGGTGGGAGTGGCCTGAGAAGGGCTAGGGGCGTGGCCACCACGAAGGGGCGTGGCCTCCCAAAAGTGGGCGTGGCCCTCTCCTCAGCGGGCAGCCGCAGTTATGTCACTCACTTCAAGCACTCAGAAATTTCATCCCACAACTTGTCACCTAATACCAACCAAAATTTTTCTCACCTCTTCTACTACAATTCAACAACATCCCACTCACCTACTCCATTTCTAACAAAAGTCCTCTTGGAAATGAGCTGTACAAGCTCACTACTAAATAGTACATCCTCCAAAGTTTCACTCAATGTCAGTTATAAAACAAAGAATAACGCCTGATTGAGAAGGTCAGACTCAGAAAGATAGAAGGGTGCCTACTATCGACCAACCTTATCCAAAATCCTTTCCCACCATAAGAGGGAACAGTATGATCTGTGCAGGACGGGAACTGAGGCCCATCTCATGGCAACAAAGCTGAATGGCTCCAGGCACTTTCTCCTCATTCAATCAGAATAGTAACAGTGAACATGAAGGACTAAACCACACTTGTCACAATGGTTAAGCAACGCAAAAGCCCATCAAACGTTCTTATTGAAGAGGCTAGCCCAGAAGACACCAACAGTACGGTAGTGTTAGACAACCTCCCTGACAAGGAATTCAGAAGGGAACTACTGAGGATGCTTAGGGATCTAAAAGAAACAATGGAAAGCAATGCCAATAAAAGACAAGAGTATTTGAAGGCAGAAATGAGGAAAACGCAAACGGAAATGTCAGACCTGAAAAACCTGGTAGGCGAATTGAAAAACTCAGTGGAAGGCCTCAGCAGCAGAGTAACAGCTGCTGAGAACAGAATCAGTGAGCTCGAAGATGAAGTTCAGAGACTCTCCAGAAAAGAGCAGAAAATGGAAAAGAGACTCACAATTCTGGGAACAGATGACAAGAGAAGATCATGATGAAGCCAAGAGGGGTAACATAAGAATTATTGGAGTCCCAGAGGGACAGGAAGAAAACCCTGATGAAGAAGAAACTGTCAAAACATCATTGCTACAACGTTTCCAGAGCTGAAGAAAACTTGTGACCACATTCAGGAAGCCTGAAGGGTACCAGCTAGAAGAAATCCGAATAAAAATACCCCAAGACACATCCTGATCAAAATGACCAAAACCTTACATAGAGACAAAATTCTGAAAGCAGCAAAGAAAGAAATTTCCTACAAAGACGCATCCTTAAAATTCACAGCTGATTTGCCTGATAAAACGTTTATGGCCAAAAAACAGTGGTGGGATATAGTGAAAATACTCAATAAAATAAATGCCTCACCAAAAATACTCTACCCAGCAAGACTCTCATTCATAACAGAAGGAACAACACACAGTTTCACAGACAAACAACAACAGAAACTTCATAGACTCAAAACCATGGTTACAAGAACAACCAAATGGGCTACTTTAAGGCAAGACAGGCCCCTCAAATACACCAAATTTCAACAGAAAAATGGGACAAAACCCCATAACAATAATCTCTCTCAATGTCAATGGGCTAAACGCACCAAATAAAGACACGGAGTGGCAGGATGGATTAGAAAATTGAACCCAACATTCTGCTGCCTGCAAGAAACACATCTCAATAGTCAAAGCAAACACAGGCTCAGAGTCAAAGTCTGGAAAACAATCCTACAGGCAAACAGCTCCCATAAAAAAAGCTGGGGTAGCCATCCTAATATCAGACCACATCAATTTCAGAGAGAAGAAGGTCATAAGAGACAGTGAAGGCCATTTCTTATTGACCAAAGGATCTGTACAAAGGAAGAACTTACAATACTAAATGAATATGCACCTGTTGAGGGACCAGCAAAGTACTTAAAACAACTACTCATAGACTTGAAGAAAGATATCAATAGCAACACAATACTAGTGAGAGACCTCAACACCGCTTTATCACCTCTTGATAGATCAACCAGACTCAAGCTTAGCAAGGACATACTTCATCTGAGGGAAACAATGGAAGAAAGGGACTTAGTAGATATATATAGGACACTTCATCCTCAAAAATCTGAATACACATTCTTCTCAAGCATACATGGAACATTCTTCAAGATAGACCACATGCTGAGCCACAAAACATACCTCCATAAAATTAAGAAGATAGAGATTGTATCAACAATCTTCTCAGACCATAATGTGCTGAAATTAGAAGTAAATCACACACACAAACAGAAAACTAAATCAAACACCTGGAAATTAAACAGTGCGCTATTGAAGAAGTAGTGGCTTAGAAAGGAAATCAAAGAGGAAATCAAAAGATTTCTAGAAACGAATGAAAATGAGGACACGAGTTACCAAAA